CAGAGAACACGTAATACATAGGCTGTTTTGTAAAAAATCAATACTACCTACGATATACATAGATATAATGTTTATCATTTATTATGAATTAAGATTTTGATTTATATTTCTGTAATTARGGCAACAAGTGGAAACAATACTGTGGTTTGAACTATAACGGTATAAATACATCGGAAATAACTATAATATATTATTAAGGCGTATAAATTAAAATATTGATTTATTATGGCCATATTTTTTTAGCAATCTACTTAATATGGTATCCGTTTTAGGAAAAAAATAATATCACAAGGCATTTCTCCGGGGAACTTATATGTTCTTTTTTTGGAAAAAATTCACCTAGGTAACATGTGCGCTTGGACTAGAGAACTGAGATTCTCGGGGGAATACAACGTATATGCACGTGGACGAAAAATGTATGGGAAAAGAAAGGAAGAATCTCTAACTGACGGTATAATAATTGAATTGCGACAGGATAATAAGAACGCAAGAAAACGGATAAAGAAATAATAATAAAAATAAAAAAAAGGATAGAAAATTGTGGCTAAACTTTCGGTTTGGATTCTACTACTTATTATGCAGGAAGAAAAAAACTGAAGGTTATCCAAGACCGAATGTTTATTTACATACACAAATACTATATACTTACATAATATATAAATATATTATACTATTGCTACTGTTATATAATTATGTATATATATATATATATATCACTATAACTGTACCTAAATAATAGGTATCTATATACATAATACATACTCGAGTAATTTCGTAGTTAAAAAGTTTTAGAATGACGAGAATCGTAATAATACTGTTGAACGTTTCCATATATAGGATTTAGATGGAGATTGGATATTATGAAAGGCATCGCGACGTGGCCTCGGCTCGGTGAAAAGAATTCGGAAGTTGACGGAGAGGTTTTTTAAATAAATAATTATTTTATTTGATATATTATACGGTTCAAGATTATTTAAAGTGGAATGTTAAGTCACGACGTCAACTACATGACGTTAACCAAAGCAATTTATATAATAATTTATTCTGTATTTCACGAAAAATGATGTATTAAAAATAAATATTATATATTTCCAAAAAATTTGTCAAGGTTAAAAAAGTCATAGAAAATACAATTTTATTTTATTTCGTTTTTATTGCATATTATATGCATAATAATATAACTATATAAAGTGTTGGCATGCGATCGTATGAACAGGGAATGATCCTAGAAAACAAATAGTAATAACATTGAGTATAGATGATAGTAATGGTAATAATTAAGGGTACGTCTCATCCACACGTGTTGTCGTTGTCTTACAAGTTCGTAACATGGTTAATTTTAATATAAGCGTAAAGCTTCGGTCTCTACTACATCGTGTAGTGTTTCGTATATGTAATATGTACCTACTACCTAGTCAATGAAAGGTTGGTAACACGTTACCCACAAGTTAAATGTATTAGACAATTAGACACAGTAGATTAGAAACAAGGCTTGAATTTACCTATTGTTAAACTTAAATGTAACAACATTATCTTTGGTTTATTGGAAGTGTATTTTCCATATTTTTATATTTTTGTAGTTAATAAAGTAAGTATTAATCTAGATGAGAGCTGCTGGACACACATTTTCAAAGGTACGCTATTCTTTTATTGCGGTAGCCGTACTTGTATAATTCTTTAAAATAATTTACGGATGAAACGTAAGTAAAATGCAATTATAAGATCTTGGTTGTCTATTTTTTAACTGTGGTACGTCATTGATAATAATTTATAATAACGATTAACGATATAATTTAATATTATAAAATAATTGATCAGCGATTTGTCATGGAATCGTTTACCTAAATCGACTAAATACATATTTATTTAATTGTTTTCCTCTGTGACATTAAATCTAGACTCTTAAATAATAATAATAATAATCATAATAATTCTGCTTAATGCGTCCTATCAATGGATTTTCAGATCTCCGTGTTTATACAAAATATTATACCCCGGGGGCCTTTGAATTAAAATTAATAACTATAATGTAGAACACAAAAGACACAACGGTGAATACGTAAACATTAATATATGTTTCACACTAATAATAATAATATTAATTCATTTGGCGTTATAACTTGTCTCTATAACTTGAGCTAAGCTYTTTAGATTCGTTTACTTATACGGCTATAATGTATATGTATATAAATTCAAAAAGCGCTTTCCACATTAAGHTGTTTATTTAGACATTTACGTGAGTAATTTACAGCTTGATTGACATCTATTTAATGAAGTAGAAAATGGATTGTAAAAGTATATTTCGCTATTATTCAAAGAATAGATAGAGTGGTGGTCGCGCAMTTACACAAACCCACATACATAGTAGACATAAATATATATATTATAATAATATAGGTATACATAATTTATGTCATAGTTTATCGATTAACTTCCCTCGAGGACTTATAGACTATAGTAACTAAAAATATAGTTATCGTATGAGGTTTTTTTTTCAAATTTCCAAAGATTATTATTATCGTTGTATATGTATAGTACATATTATGTAAGATATAACAAATAAAAACTGTACTTATACTTTAAACATTTTCTCGTCGGAACCGATTCGTCATTGAACGTAAATTGTATACCTTTTTATTATTTTTGTCGTGTTTTTATTTTTATACAATGACTTATTCAGATTTCAATGGTACTATATAATATGTCAGCCTTCGTGCTTTTAAGGCCTGAACTTTCCCTCGGAAGCATATAGTGATCATTCTTCTTGCTACATACATCAGGGAGGAAGACTAATGACTTTTTTTTGTTATCCAAAAGAGGTGGAGCACATTGAATTTAAATCCATGTACTTATTGAGTATTGCCGTATAATATCAAACGAAAATAAATAATAATACGTAATTCAGTTAAAAATGATAAATTAAACAACTTTATAATTTGAGATAATGATAGAAGGTTTAATATTACAATATTATATTATACTTCTTGATCGGCAGTTTCAATTGTTAATATATTTTTTCGTTTTATTAATGTATTATTAGTCGATTACATGAATATATTATCCGAATTCACGGTCGAAAGGTATAATAATAGTGTACCTGATTATAATTTATTTTTGTAGGTACCTACCTACATACTAATACTAAAAAATCTTAGATTTTTTTTAAAGAAATAACCCTCAGCAACTTGGCCATCGGGACAAGATACATTTTTTTTTTTTTGAAAGGTGTTACATAATAAAAAAAGAAAAGGTTTAATAACAATAACAATAAATGCCTAAATTATAAGAGTAAAATAATAATAATAAGGTTGTGTTTTAATCTTAGATTATAATATAATATTATATAACATAATAGGTAGGTACGTTATTTACGGATCATATTATCAAAAAAGTAATTGTAAAAACAATATACCTTTTTTAATATTATATTATTATATTATCATATTTACCAGAACAATTTCTCGTCCAATTATTTTTTACTACGTCTATGTGTCCAATGTCTTAGTCGCGCTTTTCGAATATTTTTTTATTTGGTTTGCTRAATAATCGTCAGTGTCTTATTTCTGTAGGTTGGTAGTAAACCTCGTAGTTACTTCGAGCATTTGATAAACGAATTTTATTTTACAGTAAACTTGGTGAATGAGTTGTCGTCATACGACTTTTCCCCCTACCCCGCCTCGCCGTTAGACAGACAAATCAAAAGCTGTAATTATGATATAATACCAATATGTATTGATGTATCATGATATACGAGTAGTTATTATTGTGGTACCTGACGATAATGAGCTTGTTCACATAATCATGACATATAATAATAGGTCGATACTACTCGTATTAGGAATTTAGAACGACGATAATTTAACAGCATACGCATACAGGGTGTATCTGGAATATACGAGTATACGACATGCTCATATTCAAACGTAATATCTTATATTATATACCGGTATTGGAATATATGTATTTATGATATAATTTTACATTTCCAAAAGTCCTTGTCTACATTTATAGGTATGCTGCGTGATAATACGATAATATGCAAATTAAATTTTTCCCCTTTCTGAACGATTTACTYGCGCGTTTAGGTGTGCACCAAAGTCCGCAATGGCATGATGGTCGAATAGATTGGAAGATAAATAGATATATATTATAAGCGTTAGGTTAGTCGGTATATAGTGGATAACGCGGGGTGGTGGTGAGGGTGTGCGTGGAGAGATCATTATAAAATGCTCTGCGGTGAAAAATTCCTTTGTGTTGAGAGCGATTTTTTTTATCTTGTCCCTTTTGCCCCGTTTCAACGACGGTTTTTGTGTGTTTCGGTCCGCTGGTTTCCGTGGAACGCCTTGTACCAGCTTTGTAAAAACAATATCACAGAACCGGGGAGTGCTCGCGCTATCGAAACGTCCCAGTGGCGGCAAGCGATTAATCTTGCTCTAATTGATTTAAAACGGCGGAATTAGCTGTGGAAGCAATATTATTATATAGATACGTAATCAAAGCGTTTTTGTCTGCCTATCGCGGTAGTGTTAGTGTTACGATATAATAATATACAGACAATGCAAAATAATATCCGACCCAGAATCATTGGATGAGAAAGAGCAATAGTTGTATAATAATTATGAAGTATAATTATATAATATATACCGTGATACTAGTGACACAGTGTAAAACTGTTAATTGTAATAATGCCATAAAACAAGTGAATTAAAAATAAATAAATAAATAAATAAAATTATATCAATTTGTCATAAACTTAAGAGATAGATAGAGAGAGAGAAAGATTCTTACCCCTGGCAGCGTCTTGATATTGTGCAAAGCATTTTGAGCGTCAAGAGCAGCCTTTCTTGTATAATACGTTACGAAGCAACATCCTGTGAACAGACAAAACGATACAATTAGTTAATTGTTAACAAATTCGCGCACGGGCTTCRTTTAAAAGTGGTTCAAGAAATGGACGTTAATCTTACGATGTATTTTGATACCCTATTTACTCACCAATCGATGTATGGTATACATTATTGGTAGGTATCTATGGTTATTTGCATCTATTATGTATTAATGTATATTATATAATAGCTAAGCTATATTCCTAATTTATTTCTAATTACATCGACGGGTTTAAGGTTTTATTATTGTTCCAACACACGGTGTTGTGATATTATTGAATTGTAATATACATAGACTTATCGGRTACTATATTAAGTATTGAATCAAGTAACACCAAAAAAGTCATCTTGTAAAAAACGAATGATCACACAAATTAAATGCCGAAGAAATCAAAATGATTAAAACGAAAAATGTTTCGGTTATTTCTATTGATTTTATTTTTAGGCAGTTAGCTCTTATATCTCTTATATACTACGAGGAGGAATAGCACAGTATTTTAAAATATAGATTCCAGTTAAATTGTCAAACGATTGGTTAAAACGAGCATATAATTTCGAGTAAATACAGTAATGGCTAAATCTCAGTATATATAATAATGTATTAAATTTGTTTACATCCGAGAAACGATTGTAAAAATCGCATTTTATAAGGACGAATGATTTTGTGYGAGTTTCTTTATATATTCGCTATATTATAAATCTTTGAATCGTTTTCCAAACCATCCCCCATTCCATCAAGACAAACTTCTTTCAAATTTCTTTCTTTTCTATACCATACATATAACATACTATATAGGACATAGGTACTATAATAATATATACTTATATACTGTGTACTGAATGCATTTATTTCCTCCCTCCCCCGTTTCGCTTCGTTTGGCCACATCGTGTACGGTACCCTCTTTAACTGCAAATCAGCGAACTGTGTCGTTTCCTTTACGTGGTCAGCTGACTTTTCTTCTTATTATTATTACTTTTGTCCACGGCGAAATCCGTAAGGAATAAATCACAATGAATTATCGTCAAAGCCATTTTGCCTTGTTTTATATTACTTCAGAAAAAAGACGGATGCGTGTACGTGCATATGCATACGTTTATATATGCGCCAAATCGCCGTATGTTGATCTGTTTTTTTTTTAACCTGGCGAGTTAAGTCATGTTCTACAAAACGTAATATATTTGGTATTTAATCTCCCGAAATAAAATTTTTGAAAAATGAAAAAATAAAAAAACGGATTTAAGATTTTTGAGTGACGTACTATGTTTATTTTATATGTATACAATATACATGGTATAAATTATACGTTCAAACATAATATTAATGCGATACACGTGCTTCATACTATGCAGATAAAAGACACGCATATTAAATTAATAACCGACAAAAACAATTAAATGAAAATTTCAAATTTGATTGGGAAAAATGGTTRCTTTCTTTGATTATACTAGTGTACTTCGCAATTCACACCTCAGGTGTGTCATGTTTTTGGTTGGAATTTATTTTGAAATCATTATTTTATGAATATGATATTTACTTTATAATATAAAATGTGTCATTATAGTGTCACTGTGGAAATATAGCTCAAAAAGTTATGATGCTATTTTTTATATAAATAAAATATATATATCGTCAACATTTGTATGCGCAGATACTTTGTCCTTCCATCATCGCTTGCGCTATTGTCACCTAGCTATAAATTTATCTTTATAATATTATTTTGTGTGAGAATTTCTGTTTGAAACAAGATAAAGGTAAATTAGAATGTACTGGACGAGAACTTCAAATTACGCAGAATAGAATATTAATACAAAATTGGATGGATTYAGATTCCTGAAATATTAGAATGGATTTGTGCCGGAATATAATACTTTAATGACAAAGCTTGATACATAGTACAACAGCCAACATGAAGCTAGTAATTTCAATAAAAATAAAGTTGTTAATTATAATTTATTGTATAAAAATATACTGGGACAGTTGGGCGTACCTACAAAGATAATGAGTCTGAAAAAGTGAAGACCAATCAGAAAATAAAATTAAAGTAAAACTATAAAACACAAATCATTCATTTTTTAGTCAATTATTGAACTCGATTAAAATCACTTTAATATTGTTTTTTAAATGTCAATATTTAATTCAAACAATTTTGTGATATCCTATCACGTATTGTTTTATTAATTATCCCAAATAATTAAAAACAATTAGCATTTTTGGTATAATCAGTGAGAAACGAGAATTTAATTACTTTAACTGAAGAAATGAATATACATTATATGCTWAGCTCTTACTTATAATATCATTCATCTAGTAATGATTTAACGTTTCAGATTTTCTACGGTTGTAGAATATTGTTTATCCTACACAGCAGGATTTTTCTTCGAAAYATTATTCCCCTGTCGCGCTTCAGTAAAAATTGATTCGAAAACTCAATGAGACGTCCAGGTCAAACCGTATATACACTGTGCACGACGTGTGTTTTTCGACGATGGTGGTCTATTTTGATATCACAGACGGGTTCAAAGGCGTTAAGATTGATGAGGCAACATGCGTGACAAAGTTAGATCGAATCTTCTGAATAATTCTGTTATTACCAGAAGAAAAAAAAAGAAACCTTTTGAAAAATCGTATTTTTCCACCCATACACCTATTTCATACATTATGCGACTACGTTTACGTACCCTATATACGCCYCAGACAAAACACGTGGCGGCTGCAGTTGCCCGGGCAACTGGTACGGTGATTTATAGAGTCAAAGTTCGATATTATTTGCCGGTTACACATGGTTGTTTTACAGTCTTACACGCATGGCGGTGGCGGAGGTGATAGTGACGTTTTCCGTAGAGATGGTATGGCCAAAATAGAACGGTGATGGTGAATCGGTTGAGGGGTAATAGTCGGCACGGGGTAAGGGATAAGGATAATCAAATTGTGTGGTAGGGGGTGCAAAAAGAATTCGGCGCATTTCCATATCATTATATATATATATATATATATATATATATATAATATGTGTTTCGCTAACGGTGAAATACCGTTGAAAGTCATTGAATTAATCAACCCGCGCACATTCCGATGGAATTACGTTCTGCTGTGCAGCAAAAGGATTGGGGGTACACACGTCGTTACGCTTTCGATTCCGTTRAAGCTCCCAATAAATTTTACATTAGTCGGTAGTCGGTTCACGAACATAATTTTTTTTACTTACCGTCTAATATGTACCCTTATTGACTTTATTACACATATATACGCATCAAGAGTAAAATAAATCTAGAAAAAATTCATATCGGGTAATCTACGACAATAATTTGTCGCTTATAGGTACTGTAGTTCAAACGTATGTGATCGATCGTTTCAGTGGACGCCATCAATAAAATACAATACAATATACCTATATAGGTACAAACACCGCAAATGGATATAATGTAGATTATAGGTGCTTAACATATTACTCTGCAATGTAGAACCACGCGATTAATTTTGTTTATCGTTTGACAAATCCTATTTCATTATTTCGTTTCGAAAAATCATTCAACTGCAGATTTGACTATATATATACGCGTTTTGTAATGATTTAAAATTATTATCAGCGATTTAAAACGCACAGCGAATAAATCTTTGAATTACGCCGAGATTATTGTGTTGGTGCTTTTTAAACGAAACGCATAGAGAATACTATACACTACTACTACTACTACTACTACTACTACTACTACTACTACTACTACTACTACTACTACTACTATTATTATTGTATTAAATTGTTTTTCGAGTACCCGGTCCTCATTCAAATGGGCACACAGAGATTATGTCTGATAATTCAAAAAAGGAATTTCGGTCTTCTTTTGCCATCCCACAATTTCCGGTGCACGCTAGCGTGACCCTTTCACCGATTCATCACCAATAACATCCGAAAAAAAGATTTACGCGACTGGAAAAAGAAATGGATTAAATCTTAGATTTAATTTCATCGTCCTTATCATTATATGTTCGTTTTCTAAACCACTGGAAATGAAACGAATGCTGACGTTTTTTTATATCTAATACATTTTTTGTTTCAGTGCGGTTCGGACGTCGTGAGTAGTGGAGGACGAATAACCTCGACAAACGATGTCAGTTTAAATTTTATGTWCAGCAACCGCCCGATATTATTATAGGTATACCAACATAATACATAGTCAGCACATAATATCATGTACGTATGATATAGCTGATAGTGCAGTGTATGGAAAAGKAGGTGATCGTTRGGTGACGGTGATGACCTGTAAGGTAGAGGGAGTCTTACGGTGTACACGCAGAATGTGCTATTTTCTGTAACGCGAGTTATAATTATTATTATCCTTATTATATCGTCTCTCTCTCTCTCGCTGTACCGTCCGCTGCAGAATGCGTCAAGCGGTGCGGATTCCACCGAAACATAATTGGATCTTACGTGACGCGATTAAGAGACTTGCTGGAGACTGACAGACCATAAAAGCTATATTATACACCGCTTGAGAACCGGTGCTCTTGTATACATATAAAATATATACAAATATATATATATATATATATAGATATCAGATGACTAAGATTATTATACGGAAACTAAAACAGTGTAACGAGACAAATGTTCGTCGAAGTTGGACAATGAAAGTTTCCGTCGAAATGAGCCCCCCAGCGCCAATAAACAGCGCGTACCATCACYGACACCACCCCTCATCGTACCCTAACTGTCTACCATCCCGCGAGTATATAAAATACATACATATATAAACCCTTTCCTTCCAACATCAACGGCTCCGTCTATCACTTTCCACCCCTTGGCAGCCTTTTGATACACTCTACCATAGTACCATGCCATAGACGCTGCCACTCAATACCGAAAACAATAGAATCTGTCACATCGCCGATGCCGCCACTACCGCTATAGCTTTGATATAATGTACCAATGACGATAACACGGTTTGTATTATTATATATAATATAATATACCATACAGGACGAC